TGTGTTGACAAATCAGCTCAGTACTAAAACAAAGAACTTTGTGGACTTCCTGAGGACTTTATGGAAATTTTGTAAGAAAAGTTAGTTTTTGTTTTTTCTAAAAGTTTATAGAGGTTTTTTTTGTTTACGGTCAGTTAACTACGTTTTTTTTGGTTTGTTTTTTTTTGGTTTGTTTTTTTGTTATAACCAACTAAAACAAGTACTGATATAATAATACATGGGTAAAAACTTTTGGATTTTCTTTAAGGCTATTCCTAAAATGTTAATTCTGTTTAATTTTACCTTGGGGCCATGGTGATTAAAGGTATTATGGCTTATTAATTAATTAATTGAACAAGTTTAAAATCCATTCCAGTTCATTAATTATGTCATGCCAACACCTCCATAGTCTTATAAAGTAGTCCTTTATACCCTTCATAGATGAAGAATTGTCTTAAGGTGTTATTACAGCTGGTTTGGAAAAGCCTTCACTGCGTTAAACTGACAGGTGTTTCAAATATTTAGTCCATCCCATGCATATTAGTGATGGGTCTGTGCAGTGTAAGCTAAATAGTAAGGTAAACATATTGAGGGGCTATGCCTGTGTATGTCTTTGCATTATGTTACTCATTCTGTTGGGGCAGTAAGATAAGTTCAGAATATATTATTGTGTTGCTAAAATCCTAAATGCTTGTCTGTCTCTCTTAGCTTTACTGCATATGCACTTAATTTCTGGAGGTCTTATTTGACGGGTTTTCTGTCATCTTCAGATTTTAGTTCTTTTGTCCTTTTGCTTCTTGTAAATAATTTCAAACCAAATCTTTATTTTTTGCTTTACAGGTGAATGCATCTCCTGCCTTATCTGAACGACTGCAGATCTTTGAGGCTCTCAGGGAAAAACGTGGAAATGGGAAGCGTTTTGAATCGACAGAAATGCCCCTCCGTATCCGGCTGGTTGACGGCCGGATAGTTAAGGGAACAGCTGGTGTCACCACACCGCTCTATGTTGCTCGGAGTGTGAGGTAAGTACCCAGTTTATACTGTTTGGTTTAATATGTTTAACTGTCGTGATATAACTGTGCTTTTGCACGTGTTGTTTCAGATTGAAAGGAGCCCTGGTGAGTAAGGTGAATGGGGAACTCTGGGAGCTTGGACGACCCCTAGAGGCAGACTGTGAACTACAACTTCTGGGGTTTGATACAACTGAGGGAAAGCAGGTAATTACACAGTTCCCCGCTGTTAACTTCCTTTAAGTATGTGCAGTTTCCCCTATTTGACCTGTAAGTGTGATGTTGATGAAAAATTAGTTTTGAAGGTTTTTTTAAAAACATTTTCTCACCTCATTCAGCATCATCATAAGTTAGAAAATAAATAAAGATGTTAACATGCCATGTAACATGGCAAACAAAAATTGAAACGACACTTTAACTGGGACCAGCAGTAGTGGGATGAGAGCATCTTTGTGTTTTCTTGCTGTTTTAATCTACCATCCCAAAAGTACAGTGTAGATGTCTTTGGCGCTCACTCATTACGACCCTTGATTTCACAGGCAGCCTGGAGAACAGGGGCGTGCGTCCTCGGTGGAGTCTTGGAGGGCATGTTTGGTGCTGAGGTGTGCAGAGAAGGAACGTCAGAGTTCGGGCTTTTCTGTGATTACCTGTTGGACAACAGGTGATTACTATCTATCAGATATGAGCTCTGTCAAAACTTCATCTTTGTGTGCTCACAAATGCAAAAGAGGTGGTGGTAGTTACATGATGGTTGTTATTTCAGTTTTTCAGCTTCTTTTTGTTTTAAAGGGAAAAAAATCCTGACCTTTCAAATAAAGTGTATATTTTTTATTCATGAGTTTAATTAGTTACTAAATTGTATTTATATGCATGCTGTGTATAGCTGTTCATTATTATGTGCTGCTTTAATGACACCGTTTCCACCTTATGTAACTCGTGCCGGCTGTTTGACCTGTATGGCATGCTCCTGATTCTGACTAAACTGCAGCTGAAGTTTTGCCTGAATGTGACTTCATCTACAGTTTTTTGTCTCTGAGTGATGTGGAGGCGAGGTGTAAGGAGGCGGCAGCACTCAAACGTCCTCTCTCTAGACTGGAGCTGAGTATAGAAGAGGTCCAAGAGCTATTCCAGGTCTGCAACATGCTCTGTTTGTTATAATATAATATTGATGACAGACATTTTCAGTGCTGACACATCTTTCTTTCATTCTTTATGTAGAGGAGATAAGTCTTAATTATCAAATCACTGTGGCATAGCTGTTCAAGCTCTTTCCTCACACTTTTAATGCACCAGCTTATATTACGCCAGGAAGCAGGAAAGTTTTGTTATTTTATATTTATTTCCACTTTAAAAAAAACACTGGTGGTGTAGCAGCATTGTGCCATGCTGGCTTGAAGCATATCTGAGTAACCTTTGATAGGATGTGAATAGCAGTTATGTTACTCGCTTTTTAAGTGTGACTCCTGTTTTTAGTCCAGCTGTGATATTTGTCTGTCCTCGTGTCCATGTTGAACTTAAAATCGGTTTTCTGTGTTTTCTTCTTACAGAGCAGTAAGCTGAGGCTGCAGTTTGCTGAAGAGCAGATGAATGGCGCCACTGTCACAGTATACAGGCACGTAGGAAAACTTCTTACCTGCCAGTGATTTAAAACACTCACCAGTAAATTAACTGGTTTCAACCATTCTGTGTGGCTCAGGTGTGGAGACACTATAGCGGTCTGCAACGGCCCCCTCCTCCCACACACAGGCCTCCTCACAGTCTTCAAGATGCTGCAGGTATGTGTTTGTGTATCCAGTCAGTGCATTCAGTCCTTTGCTCGTCTTTCTGTTTTCTCTTTTTGTGTTTCACTGCCAGTTTATGTATTTTATTGTTTTGCTTTTCTTAACTCAAGAATTTGTTCTATTCCTATGAAAACTGTATTTCATATGGCAGTGCTATCACGATTTTTCACACTCAAACACTATATGACTGCAATGAAAGAGGCAGTGCCATCTCATCAGTTAAAATCTGTTTTATTTGGACCTTCGTGGCTCTCTGTCAGATGGGACACATGCTGTGTGAGTGGAATTTTCCTCATCCATATTGATCCAGGGAGAGAGGAAAGTTTCCATACCAAGCTGTCACTGGGCAGACTGGGATTCCACAACAGAAAGGGCCTGGAAATATCAGCAGCAGGATGTTGTGTTTGTCAGAGGCCAGATTTCTGTTCTGGGCTCTTAGAAACACACGGCCATCCGTCCCTCTCATAACTTTCTCTTTTGCCACGTCCATGTTCACCTATTATTTTCTCCCCACTTTTCATCTCTGTACCATTCCAGCTGTCCTCTGTGACCCTGGCCAACCAGACAGAGTCCTCCGGTTTGACACGACTGTTAGGTGTGGCCTTTCCAGGTGAGAAAGAGAAGGAGGAGTGGGAGAGGAAGCAGGAGGAAGCGAGGAGGCGGGACCACAGACGCATCGGGACGGTAAGACGGAAACCGTACATGGGTACAGAAGATGATGCTATCTTAAAAAGTGAAATAAGAACCTTTTCATGTTCTTCCACAGGACCAGGAGCTGTTCTTTTTCAATGAAGTCAGTCCAGGAAGTTGTTTCTTTCTGCCTAAAGGAGCCCACATCTACAACACACTCACAGACTTCATTAAGGTGAATTATTTGTTTGAGCTTATATTTGAATCCCTTAGAACTGCACCATCACAGCCTTGTTACACCTGTAGAAAGATTACAGATAAGAAACTGTATGAATATAGCGCAGGGACAAAGGGTCGTGGATAAACATGTCATCAAACCTCATATTTGGCCTGGGCCTCTCACTGCTTAGTTGTGGCTTTAAAGAATGAACACAGCATTACACAGGAAACATTTTTTCTCTAGTTAGTTTGCCTGTTTGTGGTACATCAAAAGTTGTTTAATCAAAAATCAAGAAATAACTGTATAATGGTTCAAATGAACTATCTGCTTGCAGAAAAAACCTGTTAAGTGAGCTCCGGCCCTTTTCAACACCGCTTATGCAACTAAAACCAAAAAATGCCCCACAAGCTTTAATTTGATTATTCAAAATCCAACTGTGACCTTAGTTGGTTTTATATAATGATAAAATGCCGCTTATGCAGGAAGTTGTTCATTGAGTGTGTGTATTTATTGTTGTTGTCCATTTAAACGTAATAACACGCATCAACACGTGCTCTGCTGATTGTAATGCTGAGGTCATATGTGTTCATGTCAGTGGTCAGGATGTCAGCCTTTTTAGCCTAAAGTCTCTATGCTGTTTGACCCTGTGACCATTTGATTCTGTCCTCCACTCATTGTCACACAAGTCCTTCCTTCCTGACCTCTCATAGTGTGAATACCGAAGGCGAGGCTTCACTGAGGTCGTGACCCCAACGCTATACAGCACTGCTTTATGGGAGCGCTCTGGCCACTGGGAGCACTACAGCAAGAACATGTTCACTGTGAAATCAGAGGACTCTCAGACCTACGCTCTCAAACCCATGAACTGTCCTGCACACTGGTGAACACACACACCTTACCTACCTGTGCTCGGGTGTCTTTGCAGAGACTGACTCTCCTTTGTTGTGTTCAGCCTGATGTTTGAGCAGCGCGTTCGCTCGTGGAGAGAGCTCCCTCTGCGATGGGCCGACTTCGGGGCGCTGCATCGTAACGAGCTCTCCGGCGCTCTGGGAGGTCTCACTCGCGTTCGCAGGTTCTGCCAGGATGACGCGCACATATTTTGCACACCTGAACAGGTACGCAAACAGGCAGATGATCTCTCGTTTCTAAACCAAGGCATGTTTAAGTGGGACAGACGCTGTAAACGAGACCCACGTGGAACCGCATTTCAGTGATTAGATGGGCTGTGTAAATGACTCCTGAGACATTCCAGGAAGCTTTAGCCTGGATGAATGAAGGTCTTTGTCCTTTTCAGACTTTGCACCTCCGTATGTAAGCCTTTGTGGCTCTGCAGTAAATCTGATCCCCTACATGGAGTCCTGCAGCCTTCCCATGATACTGTTCCTTCAGCCTTTCTGTTTGCACCTTGTTAATTCAGAGACGGTGGTCACATGATGATCACCACTATGTCAGCCTGAGAAATTCGATCTTGGTTTAATTTTTACGCTCTCAGTTGTTGTTGGTCTCTCAGCTGTGTACACTTTTCTGTTATTATTATGTCCTCATGTTGACCTCTTCCTGACTTTTCTTTCTTTTTTCCCAGCTGGAAGAAGAGATTGTGACTTGTTTGGACTTTGTGAGGAGCGTCTATCAAGTGTTTGGGTTTTCCTTTCACTGCCTGCTGTCTACGCGACCCACGCCGTGCCTGGGGGAGCCTGAACAGTGGGACACCGCTGAGCAGGTAAACAGACACGTTGACACACTCTCCATCATATTGTGTGCTAAAAGCAGTCCTACACAGACACAGCTGTTCAACGTGTGTGTGTGTATATATGTGTACTCTTGAGTGGCAGCCAGGGGGGAGGCATTTCCACTTAACCTATCAGTTATGTAAGTGGTACTTTCCAGTCGAGAGCTGCTTTGCGTCAGGCTGTTGGGTAGATGTATATCTCCAAATCCCCCGAGCACTTTTTAAATGGGCACAGCAGCAATCTAAGCTGATTCAATTGAGTGTAATTTAACATAACAGTTCTGAGCCTGCACAGTTCAAACACAGACATGGCTATCATAATGTGCTTTAATGTACTTATATTCTGTCATGCAACTACTTGCTTATTTTGTGTGTGTGAGAAGCAGTTAGAGAGGAGTCTGCAGCAGTTTGGTGAACGCTGGGAATTAAACCCAGGAGACGGAGCGTTCTACGGACCAAAGGTCAGTGAGAAGGAAGACGTGCACTTAATGGACTCAGGAGTAAATGTTGCTTATCACTGTTTGTTTACACCAAAGCATCGTGACATCAGTTTAGTCACTCTGTTCCTCCTTAATGTAAAAAACTTTAAGGGAATGTGTGTTTTGTTTTGTTTTGGTTCTTTTTGTTTGTTTGGGGGTTTTTTTTATGTTGAAGCACTATTAAAGATTTACCAGGAGAGCTGATTAGTTTAGCATATTGACTCAGAAATGGTGGAAGCAGCTACTTTTGGGACAGCTACCAGCACCTCAAAAGCAAGCCAAGAAATGGTTTTAGGGTGGTCTCCATGTGGGAAAATTCTTTATCAGGTATAGCAACTTCCAAGTCTTAACTGCCTGACATGTATCCTCAAACTGGAAAAAAACATGACTCTAATGCAGTCCAACTAAAAACTAAGTCTAACAGCTGGGTTGTTGCTAATCAAATGCACTTGACTGACTGATCGTCAGAAAGTGTTGCCACTTCTTTTAAAGCAGAAGTTCTGACAGTTGGCTGGTCTGGCCACAATAGGAGTGAACGTCCCAGGAAATTCACCCCAGGGTCAGTCCATGCAATGTTCAGAAAAACCCAAGGTCTACATCTCAGACTCTACGGTCCTCAGTTAGCATGTTAAAAGTTGTGACAGTACAGTTATAAAAAGACTGAACAAGTATGACTTGTTTAGAAAGCCTCTTCTATCTAAAAAGAACAAAAAACAATGCTTAGATTTGCAAAGTTCTGAATAAACCAGAGACCTCTGTAACAATGTCCTTTAGACAGAAGAATCCAAAGTGGAGATGTTTGGTCATAATGCTCGGCAGCACATTTGCAAAATACCGAACACAGCATATCGGCACAAACACCTCATAGCAGCTGTCAAGCTCGGTGGTGGAGGGGTGATGATTTGGGCTTGGCCTGGGCCCCTTGTTGAGATGACCAGATGCAACAGGACAACAACTTAATGAACTGCAGCAAATCTACAATACCCCAGTTAAAGTCCAGACCTCAATCTGATTGAAACTCAGTGTAAAGGAGAGTGGGCTAGGACTCTCCAGTTGTTGCTCTACCAGCTACTGAATACTGGGCTGCACTCAGTTTTTTCCACAGTAGTCCAGTGAAACCTTTGTTTCTCACAAGCCTGTAACAATGTGTTCATCAGCTTAGAGGTGCTGGCAGGTAGATCATTTTTCCATTTGATACAGAGCCAAGCTTACATTTTCTCTTCATTATCTCTGAAATCTTGGGAGAACAACAAACAAGAGCATTTCTCAAGTTTTGACAATAATAAAATTAGATTTAATGATTTTAATTCCTCTAAAGGGGATTTATTTATGTTGCAACGCAGATTAAGACATCTTTGTTCTGCTTCAGCTCTGCACAGAGAAACTACAGACACGAATTATTGTAGTTCACAGAATATTTAGAGGTTTTGTGCTTTTGTTTGTTTGTTTTTGTTTATTTTTAAATAAAATTGAAACGACAGTGCGGCAATGACCTTTGCTTTTTTTTGGGGGGGGGGTGAGACTTAATTTATCTTTCCAAGAAGAAGTCTGCTTCAGATAAACGTCAGCGTGCTCATGTGGGAGCACTGAGAGGAGGCGATGGGTGAAGTCAGGTTGAGCTTAACCGCTCGTTGAAACAGAGAAACGTGTATCCAGGATTTTTAAACCACAATCTAAGCAGCTAATCAGCTTCTCTCAGAAACCCATTTCTAATGATTCAGTGCACAAAAAGGTACTTTGTCTCAGAGCGCTAAACTGGAAGGGAAAAGTGAAGCCCGGTAATAACGCACGCCTTCATGTTTCATCAGATTGACATCCTGATCAAAGATGCTATTGGCAGACAGCACCAGTGTGCCACGATCCAGCTGGACTTCCAGCTGCCAATCAGATTTGACCTTCAGTACGTCGGGTGAGTCACTCATAAATTTCAGTAGTTGGCATTCAATCTCTTTAACATTCCTGCATCTGCACTGATTTAAACCACTACTCCTTTACAGTTGGCCACTTCTTTTTGTTGAGAATGCATCCTTGTGTATATATATATCTATCTATCTCCAGTAATCACTCGGGATAAGATGGCACAAGTCTAACTTTGGGAGCTAATTTGATGATGAAACATTAGCCCTTTATTGGATTTATCAGCTCAAGTGTGTCGAATTTGGTCCACATCTACTGAAGTGTTTTTGATTATAATCTGATTAGATTATATGTTCAACAATAGATTAGTGTCCCATTGTAGAACAGTTTATAGGAAAAGTAGGTTAGAAATAAGCAACAGAGATCTGCATATTTACTTCCACTCAGCTACTTCACTTCAGTATAAAATAAAGTTCACAATACTGTCAAGAAGAGTATTTGTGTCTGCAGCTTGGCCACGCTGCACCACCTCCTGATCTCTGTTTTTGTAACCTTTCTCTCAGACGAGACGGACAGTTGCACAGACCAGTAATGATCCACAGAGCAGTGCTGGGATCGCTGGAGAGGATGATGGCCATACTGGCTGAAAACTTTGGAGGGAAATGGTGAAAAGATGATAATGCACAAAATCTGAATGTACCCCGTTAGTGGGATTATTGTCCTGTAGCTGTACGCTAACCTGTCACCCCCCTCTGTGCCTCACCCAGGCCTCTGTGGCTGTCTCCGGCTCAGGTCGCAGTTATTCCTGTGGGGGGCAACAATGAGTCGTACGGCAGGCAGGTCAGTGTCTGATGGAAATTTGCTTCGGGTGCATAAGCAGACAAAGTGAACTTTCATCCTGCCATGATTAATTTGTTCTTTCATATAAGAGGTAGATTACAGATACAGTCTTAAAAGAATGAATCCCTCTCTCTCTCCTGTTAAGGTGGTCCAGCAGTTCCATGAAGCTGGCTTTATGGCAGATCTGAATGACGATGAGGGAGCCACCTTAAATAAGAAGATCCGCTCTGCTCAGCTCGCCCAGTATAACTACATATTTGGTAAAGATGAATAACTAAGAGGCTGGCTACTTAAAATACTAAAGACTGCGACTGTTTTTCAGTACTGTTGACATATTTGACAGTCTTTTTGTGTGTGTTTCTGTGCAGTGGTGGGTGATAAGGAGCGTGAGAGTGGAACAGTGAACGTGAGGAGCAGAGGGGGTAAACAGCTGGGCAGGAGGCCGACAGAGGAGGTGCTGATGTCCCTCACAAAGCTACGGGACACCAGAAGCAACCTCGATGAGTTTTGATGATGTCCTGGAAATAATGACTCACTGATGAAATGTTTGTTTTACATGTTCAGCCTGTTGCACTTTGGCTTTGTCTGAAGAAGCGGCTGGTTAAAGTTGGAATAAAAGTATAAAACACTGATGTTTATGTTCTGCACTCATTGCTGATTTTGTCCTTTAATGGAATTTGCTGATTAAACTGTCCTGCAAAAAAGAGACTGGAGAGAGAGAGATTTAAGGCTATTTAAGGATCGCCACACTCTTAGAAATAATGGTGCCAACTATAAGCACAGAGTCCTACCACCTGCTCCCATAGGAGAACCCTTTGTGGTTTCTGCTCCAACCTTTTTTCAGCCTTTTGAGAGGAAACATGACACAAAGGAAATGTGAAAAGTTACACTCAGTCTCTGGCGGTGCTATCCAACACTTCTTACTGTTTACACAAAAATGTGTGAGTTATAGTAGGTTGTATCCTCATGGACACACAACCGTTTGCAGTATAATCACTAGTAACCTTTTAATTTTATACTTGTGTTATAGTAATAAACTTGATAAGGTACACGTGTGTACCTGCACCACCCCCACTTTTGCTTTTCAGAACTGCTTTAATTTCTCATGACAGATTCAAAATGTGAGATTTTGGTCCATGTTGATGCGATCGTATCACACGTGCTGCAGGTTTGTTGGCTGCACATCCATGATGTGTATCTCCTGTTCCACTGCATCCCAAAGGTGCTGTACTGGATTGCGATCTGGTGACTGTGGAGTCTATTTGCATACATTGAACTCAATGTCATGTTCAAGACACCAGTGTGAGATATGAGCTTTATGAAATGATGCGTCATATTTTCTTACTATCAGCTCTGACGTCAAAAAAGCATTTTGCCTCAAACTGCTGCTCACTGGATATTTTCTCTAACAAAGTGGATGATGAATGAATTTCGCTAGAGCTACATTTCCATCTTTTCTACCCAAAAAGGTTTTACTCTGTATCACATTCATTAATAATACAATGATAATAATAATACATGCTATAATTACCAATTTGCATTCGATGACTCACACATGTATTTAAAAGTCTTGGAACAATGATGGATAACAAGGTCACAGCCCACTTCCTGCTATGAGTAATTCATAAGCCGTCTGCAAACAACAGAGAAAAACTGAAAGTCCAACAAAAGCAGTCGGAATGAGAGTGCCTAATAATGGGAACAGTGGAAAAGAACCAACCTGTTAAGAGCCTCCACTGGCACACAGTCCTGGAAAAGTGGGGAAACCCCATAAAGAAACATAAATGATACACCTTTCCACAATAAAAGCCCTCGCCTAGTTTAATGTAATGAGAGCAGGGTTGAGTCTAGAAATGCTAAATGAGTTTTAAAATTAACTGGTATACTGATAAAGGCCATAAGCTAATATTCAGTGTCCCATCCATGAGTTTAGAAGTACAGATGAAACCCCAGACTCTTCAAATCTCACTTTTTCTTCTACAGGATGCTTAAAATGTTCTTTATATAGTTTCTTATGGAGATTATGCAGGTTTAGACTTTAAGGGTCAGTCACTTGGGTGGAGCTACCTGTTGTAAAGGCTAGGGTAGCGGTCCCTTGGGGAAGGAGGAACTGAACTGAAGAGATTATACTGCTGTGGCATTACTCAGCTACCAATGCAATTTGTTCCCTATAAGCCATCAAACGTGCAAACCTCCTGCTTATATAAGCGTGCGTGGTGCTATCTGAGCAGAAAGCTGGGCATACCTTTAAAAGACTGGAAGAAAGGGAGGACACAGAGGGAGATTTGACTAAAATAGGAGAGAGAGCAGCCGTGTCAGGGCTGTGTGTTTTCATGTGTGTTTAGTGGAAACAGCCAAGTCAAGGTAAAGGTCAAAGGAATTGGAGGTTTTTTCCTTTTTAATTGAGAGAGGGCAGCAGGATGGAAAAGACATCAGTCACAACAATGACACAGAGGGAGAGTGGGAGGTGTGAGCCCCGAGAGAATAATCTGAGTTGACTGGACAAAAGCAACCGCTTCAACAAAGCACACTGTGAGACAGGTAGAGTGACCGTGTTCAGGTCCTCCCGACATCGCTTAGTGGGCCGCAGAGAGGGAAGCTGGGGCAAATTTGTAAAAGCTCTCTGCTGGAGCTGGTTTGAAAGTACGTTTAATTGAAGCACAGATCTGACTAGAAGCGAGAGTGCAAACACAGGCAGGTAATTTGAGCATCAAATAGTAAATTAGCTGACACTTTTTACCACAAGTCTCACTCATACAGGGACATTCACACACAGATGGATGCACCGGTGGTGACACCTTAGGGTTCAGTATGACAGGCTGGAGAAGCTGGGATTCAATTTACCGACCTCCTGAATGATAGACCACCCGCTCTACCACCTGAGCTGCTGTGACCCCAACAGAGAATGATTCTAATGGGAACATTTATCCCATTAGACTGCATAGAAACACCATTAAACACACATTTTTTGCCAGTTAGTTATTTTTGCTTCTTTTTTTTTTTGTTGCTGAGATATAAATCTGAGATCTGTGGACTTTCTAATACAATGGAGGTGAAGGAAATCTCCTTTGCTGTGCTAACAGCCTTGAAAATGACAGCCGCACTGACAGCTCTACGGAGCTGCACCTACTTCTTGTCACACATCTCTGCCGGTTGTTATTTTAAAAAGTAAACATGTCTCATAAGAAACCTGTGGCTGAAAGAGAGCTGTGCTGAGCTGTGGATGCATCCCCGCTGAGACCCAAAAATGATTATCAGACAGAGCAGCAGCTGAAATAACAGCTAATGGCTTAAAGAGAAATACAAAGACATAAGACAATAATAAGAAAGCTTAACTTCCATTTGCAGTGAGTCAGAATAGGTGACTGGCAAAACTTGTGGATGGTACTGTATGCTTGTGAGAAGTTGGGAATGTTGAATTATAAAAAAGTAAATGTCAATGGTGTCTATTTATTACGTTACATACAGCCAAATTTAAAGTCTTTCATTGTCCCGCAAACTTTTTGCCCAACTAGTAAGTGGAGAAACGGAGTCATGTGAAAGGGAAAGTTTTCACAGGGCTGTGCACCCCAACAACTCTTGGAACCAGTTTTAGGAGCAATAAACTTTGACTGGGTCATTGCAGTACTTTATTCATTTTTAAGGCATTCTGTTGTGCTTGGGGCCACTGTTCTGCTGCGTGACCCAGATTTTAGCTTTAGCTGTTGGACAGGTGGCTTTACGTATGGCTCTAGAATAATTTGGTATATGGAGGAGTTCATGGTCGACCATACCTGCAAAACAAGCCCAAAACCATCACCCCTCCACCACCGTGCTTGACAGCTGGTATGATGTGTTTTTGCTGATATGTTTTCTTCAGATGTAGCTTTGTAACTCTAAGTCGTGCTGAGACGAGACCTTTTCCTGGAAACCTTTGCAAACAAGCCATGTTTGTTCAGTCTTTATCTAATTGTACAGTCGTGAACGCTAACATTAAACATGCTAACTGACAGTCTGACACGTAGGTTTTTGGGTTTCTTGCACTGGCTCCATAGTTTGAACATTTGTCTAGCAAGCAAAAGGTCACCATTGATGAGTATCCAGTGTAAAATTCAGAGTTATCCACTGTGGTGACCCTTTGTGGGAAGGGAGCAGCCAAAAGTGGCTTCTGACCATTGCATGGTCTGACCTTGAGGAATTTGTTGGGACATCCGCTCCTGGATTGTTTTATTGTGTTTCCACAAACCTGAATGCTTCAACCTGCCAAAATATCAGCTTTTATAGAGCTGCTCACGCGCGCTGATGATCCGTTGATTAGCAGCACTTGGCTGCTACTTACCCTCTGCACTAAGGGTGCACTTTACTCTTGCAGTTTCCCTGGGCTGCATAGAGTCCTGTGAAAACTTTTTTTTCGCATGACTGCATTTTACATTGATGCTAAAAAATAATTTACTGCTGGTGCCTGTAGGAAGGTCAGGGAACAAAGTCACTTAGAGTCATCCCCTGGGTGAATCGACTGGCAATCTTATTAGCAATGCTGCAAGTGTAGCTAATGGTTAAACAGAAGCAATGTGTCCCTGGTCCTCTGAATAATCGATATAACACATGTGATAAATGTTAGGGGTTTGTTTTGTTCTTTTTTTGTTTAAGAATAGAAAACCAACGAACTCAGTATTATACATAGTTTAAAAAAATATTGAGTCATAAAAGAGATAAAAAAGAAGGAGTCTGTACTTTGTCCTTGTGTTTAAACAACTTATCAGCCTCTTAGATGATTATGGTAGCTGCTTGTAGCGGAGAACCAGACGGCCTTACAATACAGCAGATACCATTTTTACCTAAATCGGATCTAAATGGACTCATAAACTCAATCTGTGCTTTTACAGGATTTATCAAACATGTTTGTCTCCTGAATCTCAGTTATTATATCACAGACATGATATACAGCTGAAACAAGGTCTGATAACATGGAATGAATAGTTGATTAATGATAACAGTTAACATTAGAGGACGTTTGGGTTTGTTTTTAAAGCAGACAGCTACACAGAGACACTACACTGTGTTAGTCATTTATTAGAAAATCAGCTTTATTGGATTATTGATTCACAGGTTTTGAACTGAAGTTGTAAAAGTCTCTTTGCCTTTTATAACAGAAAACTGAACATCTTTGTACTTGTCAGACTGATGAGACCTCTGAATAGTCCGAATGTGACTCAAACAGTTGCGATCCTAGATGTCCTGCAGTATTCATCATGTTGATTATAGGTCTATTGTAAGGCTGGGCTCTCTTTGCTGGAGGCTTTGTCCAAAATGGGGCGATAAATACGACCCAGACGCCACAGCCACCCGCCAACATTGCACAGTAGTTGCGTAGTGATGACACAGGCCATTAACTCCAGTAAACACCGCTCTAATCTTTACCAGATAACTATATCAGCCTCCTGTTGCACTCCTCATGTCCCCACTGTGCCCATCCTCCATCATTACTATCTCTGCTCTCACACACACACAAAGCAATCCTTCATTCAACTGGTGGAGTCGAACAGAGTTCACAGGAAATTATTTTTAGCTAGAGAGACTTACCACAAGTAAGGCTGCTGCGGAAAAGCTTTTTGCTTTGGAAGGACAGTGAAGAGAATTCATTCATAATGAC